ACTCGTAACAAATTATAGTGTGTGTTTTTATATGAATTGAAATGATGAAATTTAATTCACAAAATTTGTTCACTTCTCCTAAAGTGGATCCCATATATGACGAAACATCTCTTATATGTATATATATTTGTTCTTTTTCTTTTTTATCGAATATTACATATTGACATATATACAGTCACTATTACGGTACATAAAGTAGTTTTTTTTTTTTTAATTACTATGAAAGTTAAACGGATAGTAGGAGTAACGTGGAAATATAGGACGATTCAGGAATCGTAGACGATTTGGAATCATTGGGAATGATTTCGAAGAAATAATATTATAATTTTAATCTGATTTTTTCTTTCTTTCTTTTTTTTTTTTTATCCGAAATATCGACAAAAAGTATTATCTTAAATCTTAAGAAACAAAAAATTATTCGGTGGAACGATTTCTCCGATATTCGTCATTTCTTTCTCCAGTTGTTATTTTTTATTATTTGTACCCGTACATATATATATATATATATGTATTTAAAAAAAAAGAGACCAAATAGTTTTTGTTAATAAAAAATATCCATGATATTTATGTATTTACATAGGACCTTTTAATTACGCATTAAACTCTCTTTCTTATTAACATATGTACAACGTGTCTCTCATAAAACTTGATTTATTTAACATATTGTTGACCATTCGTTATTTCGAAAATATTAATCTCATATCATATATGCATTTTAAGTTATATATTTATAATTATTAATTCAAATCATATTATTAAAGTATTATTAAAATTTGATAAAAAAATCATTTGTTGATTAGGTCAATAATGTGTTAATAACAAAATTGAAACAAAAGTGGAACCAAAATGGAGAACTATTCGTCATGGTTATAATTTGAAAATATATAATTAATGTATAGTATATATATATATATATAAATCATTTCTCGAAGCTAATCGTTTTTCGAGGACTATTTAAAACATGTATACATATAAAACATATATATATATCTATACATACACGAAAGAAAAAGAAGGCACGTTAACATCGCGTAATCGTTGAACACTTAGAAACACGGAGTTTTCTTTTTTATTTTCTATATATTTAAAAAATAAGAATGATAAAAGAGAAAACTCTCGTAAGTCTTAAAATCTAATTTTCAAACTAATGGTAACAGACGGGGGTTGTTGTTGGTGGTGGTGATATCCATTTAATATTCTTTTTCTTCTTCTTCATTTTATCTAAATACACGTAGTAAATAGTACGTATAAATCGGTAACCTCGGTGAAATCACAATCGTGGTACAATTCGTGAATTATTTATATTTATATATATATTTATTTATTTATTTATTTGTTTATATATATATATAGATAATAGTTAATTAATTATAGGAGAGAGGAGAGAAGATTGTCTTAACGTGAAAAGTTTCTTTACATCCTATTAAGATTTATGATGTTTCGATGATGATTTATAATGATTGATAATGATTGATAATGATTTTCAAATATTTATATTTGATTTTATTTAAATGAAAATTATCTTCGATTTAAAATAATTTTAAGGACTATATAAACAAAAATCAATTTGTTGTTTTTTTAACAATTAATATAAAAAAGACTAAATCTTGTTTCTATGATCTCCAGATTGATCTACAATGATCATATACCTAATTTTTATTCGATATTTGACTGATTTAACAAAAAAAATCAAATGAACAACGATCGAACGATATACTCGCTTAATTGTCGCAACGTAATATATTAGTGTATATATGTGTGTGTGTATTTTTTTTGTTCACCATCTAACCTATATAACTTTCTTCAGTTTTATTGAATAATTGGATCGAAAGAAAGATCGGAGGAAAAATTATTTTCATATTTTAAAAATCGAACCGAACCGAACCTAACCGATCGATCGATCGATGATATCTTTCTCTTCATTCTATCTTTTTCTTTCTTGTTAAGTTTGAAGAACATGGGGCTAGCTTGCTTGCTGGCTGTGCTGGCTGGTTGGCATGATGTCGACTCTCGCTCGACGTGGCTCCTTTATTGCGTTTCACTTTCGCGATGAGCTTACCCGTCCGATCGGGGCGTGGCAAAAGTGTAACGCAAGAAAGGTCCGAGGCCATCGACTGAAGAGATCGTATGCGTGAGTCGAGAAAAACAGGGCCTCACCACTGGCCCCCATCATCATCCTCACAACTCGACTTATTCTCTCTTCTCTCACAATTTCTGTCGATTTCCACTCTCGACACAACTCTTGGAGTCTCGACCTCGGTTCAAATAAATCTCTTTTTTTTTTCTTTCTTTCCTTTCTTTCATTTATTTATGTTTTTTTCTTGTTTCTTTTTTATTCCTTCCAACCCCTCTCAAAAAGAAGAAAATAAAAGATAACAATGAAATGCTCGGTGGGTTTTTTTTATTTATACGATTTAGTTTGTTATATTGCACTTTTCCTTTCGTTTATTTTTTGTTTGTTTGTTTGTTAAATTTATTTATCGTTCATTCAACGATAAATCAACGTGTTATATTATTGTGATTAATAATTTGTCCAAGAGTAATTTTTTTTTTTAATTACTGTAGATGAAAGTTTTGAGCTTTTGAATGATTTATATTCAAAATAGAATCGTGTTTTAAATACTTACAATTGTGTAAACTAAAGTAATGTAAAAAGTTAAAAAAAATATATATTATTTGATATATTTTTTTTAAAATTTAACACTTTTTGTAATTCTTAAAAGTAAGATAAAAGATGAAAGATGAAATTATCGATAATAATCGTTTAATCGTGTTCGATTCATCCATCTATATATATATATGTTATAACTTATAACAACTGCGAGTCATCGTTAGATCGTTAGAGGTTAATCGAAGTTAAGAGATCTAGCAAAGGTCTAACGGCTTCTAACAAACGTATCCATCGACACCCGTCTTCTAATTTCAACTAGAAAGTATCTATGCCTTTCGCAAATCTCTTTCTCTATGTTTCATAAAAGGGAACAGAAGAAAATGAACAAAAGGAAAAATAAGAAAACGAAGAAGAGGAAAGAATAATAATAATAAGAAGAATGAGATAAAAAAATAGTGAAAGATGAGTAATGTAGATATGAATCATTATAAGAAAGAAACATCGATAAAGACGTCTAAGATATTTCTAATACTCGGATTAACATCATCTAACGTTATAAGATGCACGTATTTTTATTTTTCAAAAATTATTCTTCGCTTTATTTATTTATTTATTTTACTTTTATTCAGTTTCACGATACCTATTTTTTCACTTTTGTTCATCTATTTCTAATTCTTGATTATTATCATTATACTCGTCATTTTAATCATTATCATCATCATATTCATAATTATTATTACTAGGAAATATTTGTCATCTTGTCAATCCAACTTTTTAATATTACAAACGTTATAATTACAAAGCGAGAGTAAATCAACCAGTAGTCGGTAAAATAAATCGAGCATGATTTCTAAACAATATTACTCATTAACATTTTCTTTTCCGTTTATTTTATCTTATTTGTTTCTACCTTTTTTCCTTTATCCCTCCCATTTCTTTTTCTTAATTTTACTTCTTTTTTTGTACTAAGACTGGTTGGTATCGCTAAATTATTAACGTTTCGAACGATTTTAAAATTTACTTTCTAGATCGTAAAATGGAGAACTCGTCGCAAGTTCTTTTTCTCAGGAACTAATAATATCGTGTTTCTTCTTTTTAAAACGTCAATTTTTTTTTTACCTTTTACTTTTTTTGTCTTTTTTTTTTATATACAACAAGAAAAAAAAGCGGAATTCATCATGTTAGTCGAGTCGTACGAGTATCGATGTTTACACAGAAATATTTTTTTTGTCTTTTTCTATATACATACATATATACAGAAAATTAAATAAAATAAAAATGAATCAATTATTAATCATTTTGATTTTATTTCGTGATCGTGATTAGATTTAAATAGAAAGGAGAGACGGCTTTCTAGAATCGAAAGATAATAAAACTAAATGATGTTTGTATTGGGGTTTGAGAATCGTTTGTACCTTGCTGTACCAGAAGTTTTATTCCTTAAAACTCGCTCGATCGTGGAGAAGCGAGCAGGTTTTATATAGTGGCGTTCATAATCTCGTTGCGACAGCATCCGCGATGAAAGAGGAAACTCTACTCGTTCATTTCGAAAGCTAACTTGAAGAATTTTCTCCTTCCTAATTTGTATTTCCCTTCTTATTTTCTTTCTCTCTCTCTTTCTCTCTCTCTCTCTCTTTTACCTAATCGATTTCGCGTTATCGACTTCCGTTTTATTACTTCTTTCTTAAATTTCGATTTCATTTGTATATATATATAAACATTTTTCTAAGATAATCTGAAACGATCGATAATGATCTAAAGAGAATGATTTATAATGTCCCTTATTTGTTTTATCTATTAATAAGAAATCAAATTTTATTCGTATCTAAATTTATTCTGTTTTCTTAATTTTTTTTTTCTATAATGATCTATAATGATCTATAATGATTTAGTATGATCAACGAATCGATTACGCGTTATCGACTTCCGCTTACTTAGATTTACTTTTCCTCGCAATTATAAACTTGAAATATTTATATAAAAATATATAAATAAATTTTTTTTCTTTCTCAGAGAATTATTCAAAATGATATTTTAGAATGATTTAGAATGATTTACAAATCGATTTATGCGTTATCGACTTCCGTATGATTCTCTATCTCTATCTATCTATCTATCTATCTATCTATCTCTCTCTCTCTCTCTCTCTCCCTCTCTCTCTCTCATTTTCCTGCGAGTTCTACAAACTAATCGAGATACTAATTTACATGAAGCTTTTATCTATATTTTCTAATAGTAAGGCACTCGTGATTGGATTCACATTAATCATGCTCCTTTTTTAAATTGTCTCTCTCATTTGTTTTCATATATATTGCACTGATCATTTAAAAAAAAACTAACTTCCTCGTTTAAATAATATCTAAAAAAAATCTTAGATTAAGATCCGAATTTGTTTAATATTATTTGTTTATATATATGTATCCTGAACGTAAGTTTATTATTTTCTTTATAAAAAATATTCTAGAGGAGTCACGAGAACGAGAAGGAAAATTAGGAATAGGAGGAGGAGGAGGTGAAGGGGGAGGAGGAAGACAAGTAAGGAGGATTCAAGTATTATTTCCAGGTGACAATGGCGGCGAATTGACGTCCCTTTGTTCTTCTTGTACACTTTCAGGTCTACTCGTAGTGCTACTCGACCTCGAACTTAAGTTGTCTCGATCACTGAAGTAAGACGAGTCACCTCTTTTTTCCTCCAATTGCAACTGTTGTTTGTCGCTTCTGAAATCGTCTTGCGTGTGACTAAGAAGACCCGGAAAATATGGTATACCTTGCCTTTGGGACGTTATCTTTCCCATAAAACTGCGTATCTCTTCAAAATAGGAATCGTCGGCTCTAGGCAATTGTCCGTGATACCTCGATCTGACCTCGTCGAGTATCGTAGGACCATCTGCGTCGTGTTTCTTCAAATGTCTGTCCAAATTTGTCTGTTGACCGAAGCATCTCTCGCAAAGGGGACACTTAAATGGTTTCTCTTTGTTATGAATATTCCTAACGTGACGTTGAAGATTACTCGAGATGCTGAAACTCCTCTCGCAGTATTTACATTTGTATGGTTGTTCACCCGTATGAGTTCGAAGATGTCTCGTTAGATTAGCCGATCGGGGAAATACTTTGCCACAAAATTTACACGAGTATCTGTCTTTAGGTTTTAGACCAGCTTGAACTGTGATCGAGTAGGGTGGTAAACTAGCGGTTTGTTGTTGTTGCGCTGGTTGTTGTTGTTGTTGCTGTTGTTGTTGCTGCTGTTGTGGTGGTTGTTGTTGTTGAGATTGAGATTGATGAGTTTGTTGTTGGGTAGGTTGATTTTGTTGAGTAGTACCGATTGGACTAGGTACTCTAGCGGTAGGTTGTGATGAAGAAGACGAGGAAGTGGAAGAAGTCGTTGAGGAAAATCTATTGGGCGGTAATGGTACCATCGTTGGCAATGCTCTTACTTGAATTTTCGGTAGATCCGTGACAGTTGAATTATGATGATGCGATCTGTACATAGCTTCGAGTACCAAAGGATGTACTGCGTGATGTTGAGGAAATAGGACCGTGTGATAAGGTATACTACTACAACCACCACCGAGACTATTTTGATTGAGTACTTCGATCTCGTTCTGATTCTCATCCCTGAGCCTTTCTTTTTTATGATCGACGCGTAAATCGAGTGGTTCACATTCGAGGTCATCCTGTTGATGAGGTTGCGGTGGTCTAGCAGCTGGACTCATATGAGGTTGCTGTTGTTGTTGATGATGATGATGATGATGGTGTTGCTGGTTTAAGGTCGGACTTGACAAACCACGACCTTGTCCATGACTGAGATCGTACGGTAATTCTTCGACGTCTGGTACACGCACGCTCAATGGATAAATACTCGCCTGCTTCGGGCTTATGTGGCCCGGCATCTTTCGAGGACTTGAGTCCTTCTCTCGCATGGCTGGAGGATACTTAGGGTCGTGCAGCAACGTCGGGGGTAGGGTGATGCTACCGAGGTATCCACTCATCACACTGCTTCCTGTCACCCTCGGCCTTGCTTCGTTTTACTGTTTGGGGTGACCTGTCAACAAAACGTCAAATCAAATTAGTTTGTCTATTTGAAAATGTCATTATAAAAATATAACAGAGGGAGTTCGTCATAAACGTTACAATAAATCTGTAGTAATAATAAAGGAAACCTGATAAATAGAAATTTTCGAATGACTTATAATTGATTGAATATGTTTTATGCGTTATTTAATATAACATAAATCAATCGGAAGAATACTTGAAACTTTCTTTCTCCCATGCCCTGACAAAACACCATTGTTAAAGGTACAGAGAATTGTACAGAGAGGGAGAAAGAGAGAGAGAGAGAGTCGAGATGGGAAGGAGACACGAACAGAGACGAATATTGGAATCGTGAACGATGAGGAAAGAAGTGAAAGGCCGTCATCTCTTCGAAAAGAAACGACGTGTAATCGTCGACCAACGCCATATAAATTCTCCGAGAATATTGAGACGAAAAAGAAGGAGAACGTTAATAAATCATTGCATCGGAGGAACAACCCATGATAAATGTTCAATACGATCATAACGATTTTCGTGAGAGTCTCGATATTTTAAGAAGAAAAATTTGTATTCAAGCGTATTTAAAGTCCTCACGAAAATCGATACGATTTTGAATACAAATTAAACATTTCTTCTATCTGTGTGTGACACCCCGTCTCATAAAATGGCACGTGCTTTATTCAATGACGTATTTTATTTTTATGATCGTTAATCAATCGAAGCGTGTTCCATTGGCTTATCGTATATATTTATTATTACGATTTTATACTCGTAACTCGTATATTTTTTTCCGTCAAATTTTTGCACGCCATGGTATCGCCATAGGATGAAGATATTTTTTTAAATTATTTCACATTTTGGAAAATTTATCGAATCAAATAGCTGTTATTGCAAACAATTATTATTTATATAATATATATATATATATATATATATATATATATATAATTATATATATATAATTTTTGAATGAATACGTATCGCATTGCCTATGCACTCATTGAAGTCACCGAAAGCATTGAAGTCTCCGTAAAAAGAAGAACGTCTTTTCGAATTATTTCTCACCGTGAAAGTAATATATCTTTTTCTTTTTTCTTTTTTTCTTTTTTCTCTTTCGAATAGCTCATTTTTTGTTTATAATGGAATCTTCTCTTTCTCATCAAGGAAGTTTAGATCTAGAAACTTGTTTACTATCGTTTGCGGCTTCGTTTGAGTCTAACGAAGTACTAGAGTACTGATACGAGAAACGTAACAACAACAACAACGACGACGACGACAACTCGTGGTACCGTTGCACGTGATTCGATCCAGTTATAGACGAAGTAAAACCTCTCTCTCTCTCTTTCTCTCTTTCTATATTTTTTTTTCTCACACACACATACATACACGCACAACATTACAGGCATACAACTAGTCCGAAGAAAGAGAAATTCACTCGCGATCTTGTCAGACAGCAATGACGAGAAGTAAAGAAAAAGAGTGTTAGACGATATTTTAATTTCAACGATTCCATATTGTTGTAATAATAAAGGAAGAAAAAAAGAAGAAACACAAAACAAGGAGAATTACATTCGATGACGATTTACGATTTATCTTCAAAATAAAAATCGAATTTCAATCATTGAATAAATTTTAGAATTGAATTTTTTTTTCGATCATTGATCTAATTAAATACGAACATACACTAATGCATAGATAATAATATTATAATTCATTTTATTTACTAGGATAGAATAATTGATGAGAAATCGAAATGAATGGAAAATATTTTCCAAGAAATACGCATATACATATTAGCAAAAACAGTGTTACTTATATTATTCGTGCTAGAGTAACTATACTTTTAGATGATCGAATGGAGATTAAAGAGAGCGGAGAGATCGCGAGAACCGGTGGGATGTTACTAATATCGGATGGAAAGTGTGTAGTGCATTAACATGCGTCGATGCGTCGTCGTTATCCCGGATGTCCTGTCGGATTTCTCGTGATTTCCTTCATCCTGAAATTAGTCGTGGAAAGTGACAGTGCCTGGCAGGATGTGTTTCGCGCGAGAATTTACACTTTACTTATATACACTTATATATATATACACACACACACACACACTTACACATATGTACAAATACCTATAATAACAATTAGAATAAAAAAAAAAATGAACAAAGAAAAGAAGAAGAAGAATAAGAAGAAATGAACAAAATTAACAAGTAAGATCAATTCAAATAGAATTCGAGTAGTAGTTTCTAACGACGCAATTGTGTGACTAACTTTTTGAGCTAACTCATCATGTTTTACGATCACCGTAGAAATTCATCTCTTCTAAATTTCTTTATTTCTTTTTTTCTATTACCTTTCTTTCTTTCTCTCAATATAACGAATCATAGAAGTTCTCATTTAATGATGTCGTGAATAATATCGAAAGAAATAGAATAAAAAAGAGAAAGAGAGACAGAGGGAGATAATAAAAAAGAAAAGAAAAGGAAAGGAAAAAAAAGAAAGGGAAGAGAGTCTTTTTAAAGATGTCTGGTTACGTGAATCAGCCTCGATTCTGACGTTTCTCGAGATCGTTCGCGATGAGGACAGGCACGATCCAGTTTTCGGTTTCTAGAAAGTTGGGATGAGTCGGGCGTGGTTTATATATATATATATATATATATATATATATATATATATATATATATATATATATATATATATATATATATATATGTGTTTTTCTTGTTATTTTTCTTTCTTTCTCTCTCACGGCCTCTCCCTCTGCATCGTCCTTGCTGGTATGATTTCTCTCCCGGCATTCACCTACGGTTTGGTACAAGTACGCTACCAGGGCCGCATTCGATCAGAGATGCATCCTTTCTTTTTTTTTTTATTATTCAAACCCATTCACAATATTCCCTTTCTTTTCTTGTCTTTTTTTTTTTATCTTAATTAAAGTTGATTCAAATACGTTGTTGAAATTTTGTTCCGATTGTATGGAAAATGATAACCAACGAGAAAAAAAAAAGAGGAAAAAATATTTTCAACTATGATGCATACACTTCTTAATTGCACTAAATTTTGGTGGTTATAGTATCGAGTTTTTTTTTTAATTAAATTCTTTACAATTTTTCTAGATATTCTTAGTGATTTTGTTCTCACTTTTTTAAATTGATTTTTTAATTTGGTATATAATTAATTCGGTTATATGGATCATTTTCGATATGCATAAAATATTCTTTAATTATTTTACCAAATAAGTAAGGTTTCGTCAAGTTTCCAAAATTTATTCATTCATTCGTTCGCGATCGATTAAAAAATTTTTTTATTCCTCTTGTTAATTATATATAATTTAATACATATTTTTGTGTGTGAATAAATTAATATAATAACCGGATAAGGAAGAAAGAAAGTTTATGCATTTTTAATGGACAATTTTAATGATTAAATTGAAAATTATTAAAGATACATGTAAACAAGATTGAAAAAACAATCAAAAATAATTCAAACCGATCCTGTATCATGGTTAAACATCGTTCAAGTAATGCTTGTAACCATAAGCCACTTGTTACTGTCCCTGTTTTGCTTGTCACACACGGGGAGGATTTCAATCGGTACGTTCGTACCTTTCTTCCTTCTTATTATTATCATCATCCTTCCTTTCTTTTTTTTTCTTTTTTTTTTTCTTTTAAACGAATTATTCTCTCGAGATTTATGACGAACCCGATCTCGATGACTTTCGATAACGATCTTCTTCTTCCTCATCGTCCTTATGGTCAACCATTAATAAATTTCCTAAAGTGTTCGCGAAACTGACTCGCAATTATTCGAATATCTCGGAGAAAGGCTTTCCTTGTATATGTTTCTTTTTTTCCAAAAAAATTCTCTATCCGTAATTATTCGAATAATGTTACTTTCGTGAATTTGACTAATTGTACCGAAAAAAACACATAGAAGTTATATTTATTGAAAAGAAGAAAGAAGAAGAAAAAAAACTCGTCTTACATGAAGAATCTTTAAAGATTCGTTTTATCCGTTCTTTGAAACGTGGCCCTGGCCGTATTGCGTCTTACACGAGGAAGATTTAAATCGTTTCCTTTTCTTCTTCTTTTTCTTCTTCTTTAACTTTTTATGTTTTTTTTTTCTTAATTTTTTTTTCTTTTTATTTTATGTCGGGCGTGACGCAACCCTTTTTTCTTTTTCGTGAAAGAGAGAGAGAGAGAGAGAGAGAGTAAAAAGGCAGTGTCGTGTCCTTCCTCACTGCGCGCGAACGAGTGAGTACCTGTACGAAATCCGATCGTTAATACCGATAAAGCGAACAGCAGAGAAGTGCCGGCATTTAATTACGACGGGCACCGTTTTAAGCACCGCCTTGTCGGAGATAAAGTGCGCGTACGTCGCTAAATTGATACATTGCGGGACACGAAAATATTGCGTTCCGTGTTCCCCCCTCATCTTCCCACCCACTTTCCCACTATATATATGCTCTGAAATAATATTATTTTCGATACTATACAATTTTCATTTTCGATACTTTCGTACCCACCCTGTTTTTCATTTGCATGCATTTCATATTTTTTATTTTTGTTTATGACTGTTATCCAGGATGACCCAATTATTTGTAAATATCCTTTTGCTAAATATTGCTTGCTATACTCTTTATTTGTACAAATTGTAACGAAATTTTGTTTTGTTTCTATTTATACGTTATATTAAAACGATCCGATTTTTGATAATTATTACTTTTTAAATGTGTACCCTTTTATTTGTTTATTTTTATTATATTTTGTATTATTAGATGATCCAGTCGTTAGCAATAATTATTCACAAATGTGTGTATCTTTGTTATACATATATATATTAAACATTTCTTTTTTATATACAATTATTATGTGCTCCACTTCTTGATAATTATGATTTGCAAATGTGCATACAATAAATTTAAAAAAAAAGAGAACATAAACAAGAATTTAGTTTATGGCACAATTGTAAAATGGATAATGGTTATTAAAGAAGAACGAAATGTAATTAAAA